CTGTGTGTGTGTGTGTGTGTGTGTGTGTGTGTGTGTGTGTGTGTGTGTGTGTGTGTGTGTGAAAGCTGTGTTGTGCACACTGGGGGACAAGTTCTCGCATATGCGGAGTGATTTTCTATTAGTCGTGGACGAAGACACCGGGATGTGTGTGACTGGTGATTGAAATCTCTAATCAACGGTGACGTGAGAGGCAACAGAACAGACGCCAAGAGGTAGACTGGTGATTAAAATCTGTCACCAAAGATCAAGTCAAGGACGAGGACCTAGAAATCTCCACCGGCATAATTTATGAGCGAGTTCGATAAGTTGAGATTCCGCTTTCATGATTTTGCTCCTGATTGACAGGATTGCCTCTGTCCTCCTCCCGTCGACATCGAAGTCTTGCATCTTTTACTCATCTTGTCGATTTCCTAGTGGACTCCGCCCCATACTCTCTCTCTCGCTCTCTCTCTCTCTCTCTCTCTCTCTCTCTCTCTCTCTCTCTCTCGTCTCCACTGCAGACGTCTCCTCACAAATGGAAGGACGGACCATCGCAGCCTGGGAGTCGTCGCACGTCGCCGAACGCAAACAAACCGATCTTGATCCTGATGACAAAGGACACAGTCGTTAGTCAGCACAAGCCATGATACCAGAAAAGAAAAACACTCTTCACGCAAAACCCAACACAAAGCGACTGCCCTCTCTATATTAATTGATCTTAGCTCATCTGTCTTCCTATTGATTGACCTTCTATCCTCTCTCTCGCCTCCCAGACGCAAGCAAACCGATCGTTATCCTGATGACAAGGACTCAGTCGTTAGTGAGCACAAGCCATGATACCTGGAGCAAAACACAATTCACACAAAGCGACGGTCTTCGCTATGGATCTTCTCTCCTCTCTCCCCTCCTATAATCGACCTTCTATCCTCTCTCTCCTCTCCCAGACGCAAACAAACCGGTCGTTATCGCAATGGCAAGGACACAGTCGTTAGTGAGCACAAGCCATCATCATACCCAAAAAAAAAAAGTGACTTTTGAAGCAAAAAACAACACAAAGCGACGGTCTTCGTTATGGATCCTCTCTCCTCTCCGCCCTATCGACCTTCTATCCTCTCTCCCTTTCCATTCGTTCCTTTTTTTTTTTTTTTTTTTTTTTTTCCTTCTATTCGTTCTCACCGATGCCGTGCCCTACATACAACCCTGTAAATTAATCAAAGAATCAATCGGCTGATGGTCAAATTCCAATCACGCCAACGTGAATGTGAATGCGACCGAGAGAGAAAGCCACATCGATCGATGGGAAGGATGAAGCCAAAACTACACAACACAATAAACTGAGTGATGCTTTAAAAAAAAAAAAAAAAAAAAAAAAAAAAACAGGCGAGAGAAAGACCACATTCAACGTACCTGACCAGGCCCGCTTACATTTCGTAGCATATTAAAGAACGGCGGCTCATCTCGAGCCAGCTACCGTCTTCACCCCCGAATAGAGCACACGGTCGCCATCTTTGCATCTGGACTGAAAGCTGCCCGAAATACAGGTATAACGACCGGGCGTTGTATTCGGGTGCAGACGGTGGGTGCACTGGGCGTTCGGAGCGCTAAACACCGACGGGCGTCGGGCTGCACGTGCAAATTCGGAGACCATGTGTCTAAACCCTAAACCAGCAATGTGTCAGCTCTCCAGCAAACCCTTCGTAGCCATAGCCAACGCTTGCCACAGCAACCTCCTCGTCTCGTCACTATAGCCGAACCTCAACTCTCCTCGCGAGGGCAGCGTCAAAGGTTTTCTGAGATTTCTCCTTTTCCACGAGCGGGAGAGAGATTGATTGACCGTGTCCGATGAGAAGACTGCCGTGGTTGGCCTTCCTCCCAGAGGTCCCGCCTCACTGGAGTCCTCATTTCTTTTTTTTTCTTCTTTTTTTTTTCTTTTTTTTTATAATGCCCTCATTTCTTACTTTTCTTTCTTGGCGTTTTTGCTTTCTTAGGGCCTCGCCACACCAATGCCGAAAACTGCATTTTTGACATTTTCTCCTCTCCACACAGCATGTCGAAATCCGAGACGCCAAAAAAAATCAGGAGCTGTCAGGGAACGGGGAACGGGTTCCGACACCTCGGGCATAGCCACACCACTATCGAAATGTGAAAAAGACAAAAATGTGGCAGGCGCATCTAGAAAGTTCATTTTTCATTTTCATTTCGCACATTTCGAGTGGTGTGGCGATGCCCCTCCTCTCGAGAAGGGCTCGTTTCCACTTCAGGCCTGCAACTTGGACATTTTCAACAGTCCTCGGGGCCATGGTGATAGGATAGAAAAGAGTTTGTGTGGCAGTTGAGTGACCCGAATCCTGCCGTGCAGTACTGGTGATCCCACAGTCAGTATTTTACATGTATTACCTGAAAAAGTAAGGAGATCTTTGTTCCCCTCCTCCTCTCCTTAACACTGGGCATGCCAACCCAAAAAGAGAGTGGGGTCGGCCATAGGCCTACTGGATAGAAGATTTTCAGTATTTTGCTTGCTGTTGTGCAATTATCTCATTGGGTGGAGCCCTCCTTCGATTACGGAGTATATGGAGGGCGTCAGGATCACTGCTGACAGAAGTTGAGTTTATTCCAGAAAATGTGGCAGTTACTTTCTGCACTGTTGTTGCAACCACCACCATCAGATCATTTGTGATCTGATTGCTGGGAAGCACTCTGCCTTGATTTCAGGTGGGAGGTCTCTCTTTGTTTTCTTTTTTTTTGCTTTCTCCTGTTTTCTCACCCCAGAAATGCGTAATGAACCTGTCAGGCCCCTGCCACTCAGGGTCTCGTTAGACACTCCTAAAAGAATCCTAAAACTTTTAGGACTAGGATTTTGTGCGGCGTTGTTACACGCAATCCTAAAAATCATCTTTTAGGATTCGTCCTAAAAGGTCTCCCGCGGCCAGTTTTCATATGCCTATATGCAGCCGCGTCACCAATGTCCGTCCATTCCTGCCAATGTCCGCGTCCAATCCCCACCAACGGCTACCATTTGTGGTCGTTGCCCGTGTCGACCCGCAGAAAACCGCCGATGTCCGACCACTGACCCGACGGACCGCTTCTGCATCAGCAACTCCGTGTCGACGGTGCCATGCGCACGAGGCAACGAGTCCGTGACGGGAATCCTAAATTTTCAGTAGGTCGGGGGCTACTGGAAAATTTAGGAAGATTTTGCCTGGGGAATCCTAAATTGTTTAGGACTCGTCCTAACGCTGTTTTCACATTTTCAATCTCAAAATTGGATTTAGGATTGCGTGCAACCAAGACGCAATCCTAAAAACAGGCACTTTTAGGAGTGTCTAACGAGACCCTCAGTGTCACACTGGATCGGCCACATTCCTATCCTACTGCTAATGGGACCACACCCCGGATGGGATTGGAATTCTTGCCCGAATCTCGAAAAGGAGAACGCAC